CGGGCCCGGGGGGCACCAACCTTGCAGACTGATGTTATCGGGATCCTGCCGGTTATCGAATAGGGGCGCGTAATCCCCAAAGAACTCAGAATAAGCCCCACCTTCATCACCCCGCACTGAGCCCACCGAGGAGGCTGAGCGCAGGGACGCCTGTGACTGCGCCAGCTTGGAGCATGTCACCAGGTTGCTGAGCTCCACCTCAGGCTTCTCCAGCACAGCCGCTTCGGCCAGGACCTCCCCATTGGCCTCGGGCTTTGGGCCCAGCTCGATGGTGGGTGGCTGCAGGGTGTCACCCCGCACTGAGCCCACCGAGGAGGCTGAGCGCAGGGACGCCTGTGACTGCGCCAGCTTGGAGCATGTCACCAGGTTGCTGAGCTCCACCTCAGGCTTCTCCAGCACAGCCGCTTCGGCCAGGACCTCCCCATTGGCCTCGGGCTTTGGGCCCAGCTCGATGGTGGGTGGCTGCAGGGTGTCCTTCTTCGACTCCTTCATGTCTGTAAAGAGAAGGCAGGTTGCCACCGGCCATGCCACCCTTCAACTGTGGCACAGAGCAGGGATGGACCTGCTCTGCAAACATGGGGAGCAAAGGCTGGCTGCCGTGGGCTGGGCTTCACTGAAGATCTCTCCTCCCCTTGGGACAGGAGACTCCCAAGGCAGCCACACACAAGGGGACAGACGTCACCAAGCCCCTGCAAAGGCTCATGGCCCCTCACCAGCCCCAGCAGCACCATGTGCATTCCCACTGCCCATACCCGCGTCACTGTTCTCGAGAGACTGGTCCTCCTCAGACACCTTCAGAAAGACCTCCTCCAGCGTGGTGTCCATCAGCCCAAAACTGGTGAGGTCCAGCTCCTCCAGGCTCTGTTCCAAGTGCTGTGGAGGCAAAATGCTGCATGAGGAGGGCAGGAGGTGCCCGCAGTGCTGCAGCTCCAAACAACCACCTGTCTGCCCACTCTGCCAGCCCCAGTGGGTACCTGGAAGAGCCTCTCAAAGCACCCTTTCTTGACAGCCTCGCTGGGCAGGACGTAGGAGAGCTCAGTATTGGTGTCCGAGATGAGGAGGCAGGAGGCCACGTACTTCTTGATGAACTGGGAGACGCGAGGCTCAGAGCAGGGGCTGACGGAGCAGTGGGCTGGAGGGCTGTGCGGCTGGGCTGACTCTGGGGCAGAGAGGCAGCACTGGTTGGTCACTACACAACTGGCCTCCCATCAGGACCCAACATGTCCACCCTACACCCCAGTGCTGTGGGGCCTCTCCAGCCTTCATCATTGGGTGCTGTGGTTTCCTGGTCGCCCAGCCTGCCCTGGGGATGGTGCTCTGCACTGCAGCCACACTGGACATCTCCAAGAGCAGCCCATGGGCCAGACAGAACCAGTGCCTGGAAGCAAATATCACCAAGCAAGGTCTAATGTGGGACCCAGATAGGAGAAATCAATGCTACCTTCTACAGCCATGCCTTATCCCCCTCCACCCTCCATCTGGCCTGAGACTCTGGGTGGGAGCACTTGGGTGTTGACCTTTCCAGGGCTGAAGAAGGGCTGGTCCCATCTCCGCCTTTAAACAGAGGGTCCCACTGCCCCCAGACCTGTGCCATTTCTGGCGTCCGACTGCTTCTTCACTACCGTCAGCTTGTAGCCATCACCATACGTGCTCTTAAGGAAGAGTGGAGAGCCACAGCACTTGAGCTTGCCATGGGAGATGATGGCGATGCGGTCACCCAGCAGGTCAGCCTCGTCCATGTGGTGTGTGGAGAGCAGGATGGTCCTCCCTGATGGTGGCACAGAGCTTCAGTGGAGGGGCCAGGGCCACCACAGCCAGAGGAGCAATGCTGGGCTCTGCTGCTTCCACTCACCTGGCTTGTACTTGAGGATGAGGTCCCAGATGGCCCTGCGTGCATATGGGTCCACACCAGCCGTAGGCTCGTCCAAGATCACAGCCCGTGACCCACCCACAAAGGCTATAGCCACCGAGAGCTTCCTCTTCATGCCCCCTGATAGAGTCTGCACCAGGGAGTGGCGTTTGTTGGACAGCTCCAGGTCCTCAATCATCCTGGGGACAGGGGAGAAGCACCAGGGATTCTGGGGGGCTGTACTGGTGCCCAGTGCCTGCAGGGAGCAGGTGATGCCTCTTCCCTGTGTGGCACCTATGTTCCCCCAGCTGCTAGGACAGCCCAGCTGCAACCAGGCTACAGCAGCACCTTCTCCTGGCTTCCACAGCCTGATACCCCAAGTTTTGGAAAGCACCTGGTAGAGCTGCTCCAGGGGACAGCTCTCCCACCAGATCACCCACCATGGCTTTAGGCAGCAGGAAGGGGACCCACTCATGCAAAAGAAGCTGGAGGGTGCCTACTTGTCCATCTCCTTGCGGATCTCCTCCTCTGCCATGCTCTTGAGCTGTGAGTAGAACCACAGGTGCTCTTCCACCGTCAGCCTGTCAAACAGCACATTGTGCTGGGGACACATGCCCAGGTTCTTTCGTATCTCATCCATCTCCGTTCGGATATCATGGCCGTAGATAGTAGCGGAGCCCGAGGTTGGAGGGAACAAGCCAGTGAGGATGGACCTGGATGGATGGAAAAAGGCAACAGTATGAGGAACCTCAGATTCCTCTGTCTGATCTCAATTGCAACCACCTCCAGGAGCATCTTCTGGGCACAGGCAGAGCAAGACAGTGCAGGGCCTGCTGTCTGTCCCCCTTTCATGCTACCCCTACATCCACACCACTGCCTGCACAACACTACCTGCCCCAGGGCCCTGCCAGGACACCACAGCACCTTCCCACCCACTGTAGCTGGCCAGAAGGACATGGCCTATGTCTGCCCTGACGGGCACTCACATAGTGGTGGTTTTCCCTGCGCCGTTGTGCCCCAGGAAGGACACCACCTGGTTCTCATAGAGGTTGAGGCTCAGCTTGTTCAGTGCCAGCTTCTTATCCGTCTTGTAGACCTTGGTGAGTTTGTCAATGCAGACAACCAAGGGGAGATGGGTGGGCTCCTCCTCGATGCCACGTGTCTCCTCTGCTGTGAGAGCGGGATGGTGAGAAGCTGGTGGGTGTCAGGAAGGCTGAGCTTGGAGTGGGGTCCCCAGGGGATAAACCTTCATCCCACAGTGGCTGTGCCAGCTCATGGACTCCTCCCCTCTGCTTCTCGCCAGCTTCCCCTCATCCCATGCCACAAACAGCAGCTCCCAGACAGGCAGCAGTGCCTGGGCAAGGATTCTGCCCTGAGAAGGGCACAGGGGACACACAGGGCTCCACGGCCACAGCAGGATCCTGTGCCACCCACCGCGGGTCCCTGTCTGCCCTCACCCATCCTCCGGCTCTCCATGGCGCAGGCCTGATCCTCCTCCATGATGCTGAGGCGGGTGGTGCGGGACCATGGCCATGTCCACTCCCAGGTCTCCACTCGCCCATTGCCCAGCCAGTAGGACTTCTGGAAGGGGAAGTACCAGGGCCGCGGCAAGCCAAACATACCTGCAATCACCCAGTGTAGTCAGAGCAGCCCTGCACCCATACCTGAGGGCCAGGAGAGAGCTTGGCACAGGTACGGGCACAGGCATGGGCCCGCAGGTTTCCCAGCTGAGGGACACCACTGCGGGGTGGAGGTTGCAAGCACCCTGGTCAACTGGGCTCAGGGCAATGCTGCTGAGCTGCACAAGGAAGAAAGGTCCACTGGGCTTTGGGGTGGGCTTGGCTCACAGTTTGGTTTCACTAGAAAGATAAGGAAGCACGTGAGACCCCTGCCCAAGCAGACAATATGGAGGACCTGTGCTCCAGTGTGGACACCTTGCTTTGCTACAGCTGGCTAGTGAACTGCGACATGCAACTGAAGATCTCCAAGGAACCTGCTGGTGTCACCAGTGGGTCAGGGCATATGGGCAGGTGTCCCCAGCAGGACACACGCAGGGGACCCTAAAGGCACACAGTGCTGAATCCCACCATGTCAGAGCTGGGCAATGCCAGCAACCAGCAGCGTCCCCAGTGAGGAGGCTCCCGTAACATCAGAGGTGCCCTCATGCCCCACTGCTCACACCTACCTGGGTGCACAGCCTCAATGTACCATGTGAGCACCCCATACACCACAGCATCCACGATCAGCATCATCATAGACAGGAGGAGGTTGAAGTCATCTCCTTCCACAGGCGACTGGCTGAAGGTGTGCCACTGGATGCCCACACCGGCCACCTCATACAACGCAAAGTACTTGGAGCCCAGTCCGAAGGCTGTGGTGGACATGAGGGACTGCAGAGAGGTGAAGAGGATGAAACGCCAGCAGGAACC